CGGATCAGAAAAAGTATTTTCTTTTTCACAGTTGCTTCATCCTAAGGTGAAAAGTTCAGGAAGATTCTGATGCCAGGAATACTGAAACTGAGTTGAAATGACAGGACATGATTTCATCATTTTCTATCAAAATGAAATGTTTAGACATCACAGAAAAGAAAACATCCTTTTGCTGACTTAAATCAAATGCTTGTTTCAAGATAGATCAAAATTATTTGGGATGGAATAAGGCAGTCAGCTGGTGAGAGAAACCATGTTATATTGTGGAAAACCATAGCAGACTGAACTTGATCTTCACCCAACCCTCAAGGCAGAGATTGATTTTTCCATTATAAAATTCAGTCCTACACAACCATATTCTATACAAATGTTCAATCTAGACAAAATCCCATTAGCTGATGGGAAAGTATTTTCTTTGATACCATTCAATAAACTATGCTGATTAAATCTGCTTTTTCCTTCTATTTGAGTTCTCTGAACCATGAGCAACCAAAACCCATGCGACAAGCTCCCCCGAATGTTATATTGTGCATCCTGGTTAGCTAGTTTAATAGAGCATTGCTGCTGAAACAGGGGCTTGCTCTTCCTCACTCTCCCCCCTCGAATGCTTTGCTTTGCCCCCGCTGCAGGATGCTTTCTCCTCCTTCCATCCTTCTCCCCCCACTAATTCACTGGAGCAAGCTCCAGGAAAAGGTGAATACTTGGCTTCACCCTTTTGGCTGGGTGAGTTGTTAGACTCAATCAAGCCATAAAATGCAGCTCAAATCACTCTTAGCTTGGCTTAAACTTGAGAGATCACAGGGAAACTGGGATTCTTCATACTCTCTTGTTTTTAAGTGTCTGTGTATCTTTGCAGTGTCTCCATTTTGGGGGCCCGTGCCTTTGACCTGCAGCCATGAGCGTTTTCTTTTCCAGTTGAAAGCTAAAACTGAAAACTTGTGGAATCACACACATCCAAGAATGCATTGTAAAAAGAATATCAACTGGACTGCTACTAGTAATATGGTTATGAAATCTGCAGCCCTGGAACTGCCAATGCAAAACTAAGGAGCAGATAAAATTCTGGACGTGATTATCTTCTACCTTTGACTTTTTTACTCTGTCACTCCACTGACTTTAGAAGAATTCCACTTTTCCCTGAAGTGCACCAGTGTAAGAAAGAAGAGAAACAGATGTTAAAAGTTTAATGTTTTAAAACACTGTCTGCTGCAGGCTATTTTAAATGCTCTGATACTTCAGTTCTTGTAAAGTCTGTCACTTGATTAAAAAGAAGTTATTTCACCACTGATAAAATCGCGCTGTTATTGAAAGATTTATTAGTGTGCAGTAATATTTTACAAATCGTTAAGTGTGTTGTTATCCCCTCTAATGCAGTCCAAAGTGAACAGAACAAAGCAGCTACCAAGCCCTCGCCATGTCCTCAATAACTTCCTACCAGGTAGCTGTGGCTGGGACAGTCTGGCTTTGCAACTCTACAGCTGCTTGATAAACAGCAAGTGGGTATAAAACATGATGCTTCGCTCCTCATGCAAAGCCAGAAAGATGAGACTCTGCAGAGGACAAGCACAAATGTCAGGCAATCGTCCCATGGCCAGAACAGGTTGTTTTGGGAAATGGGAATTCAGATTGAAAGGCCACACTGTAACAAACAAAATGAACCTAAAGGTGTTTTCATTTCAGAGCAACTAAAATGCAGATTTTCAATTAACTCATCAAATTGAAAACCCAGAGCATTGGAAAGTGTTGCTTTGGAGACTTCTAGGCTTTGTTGACCCTTGAAAAAATGGCCATTTTGAAATGGAAACGTCTTTTCAAAATGAAAAATTAAAAGATGTTGACTTTTCCTCTCTCTTCTTTCTCAATTTAAATTATCTTGAGAATTTGATCTATATTAACAACAAAAAGGTCTGCTCACCAATCCCTCTCTTCTCCAAGAGGCTAGTAAGAGTTTTACCATCTACTTCAATGGTCAAAACTTCTTTTATAGCATTCTGAAATTCTCATCTTGACTTTTCTGTCTCAGATTCCTCATTGGTAAAACAGAGTCTACAACATGCCTCCATCTTCTGGCATGGTTATGCCAAAACTGTCCACTCTGTCATGGTGGACCAAATAATTTCAGACAATCATTTGTCATTAAAAATATTGTTTCAATTGGCTAAACTCTATCCTGACTTATTCAATTAAATTCAAGTAAATGCAGCTTGGCAGAAAACAAGTCAGTACAGAATTTGGTCCAGCTCTTTAAAGTTCTTTGAAGTTCCAGATGAAAGAAGTGAGTAATAAATATGGCCTCTGAAAGGAAAAGAATGAAGTATCCTCATTCTGCAAGGAAAATGAGCTTAAACTCATCATTAATCAACACCAAAAAAATGGGAATAAAAGTTAAGCCACAAAGACGTAATCAATCTGTCAGATGCTGCATGACAGATGCATTGAAAAACAGCAACAGTAAAGACACAAAGAAATGTAATCTTAATCTTTGTATTTCAATGGGCATTTTAAGTAGACTTTTTCTTCCATTTTATATTCACTACTCTAATGCCCAGAGAACAGAAACTCTAATTACTGTTGCATGCTGAAGGCTGGCCAGTAATTATATATCTTCATCTTCATTAGATAAGATGTCTGTGAATAAGGCTTGGTCTGAAACAGAGCAGGTAAACTGGAAACTTGGAAACGTAATTTCAATTAAGAGCTCACTTTAAACTGGTAACTTATATTAATGCTGCTGAAACCTGCCTTCCTGCTGCAGAGGACTGAACTCTAGTGGGAAGTTTGCAGAAGCCCACAATAATATCTTGATCTCTGACTAGTGAGGTCCTGTTTTGACATAGGGCCTATCATTAGCATCACTGTGCAGTATGTATGAATAATATTAAGCCCACAAGCCTTTATTGGTATATTAATATACTTACAATTAATGATAGATACACACCTAAGCAGCACTACCACTTTAACCTCTTTGCAAGGGCTAGAGCTGAGCATATTGGATACTAAAAGCTGTTGCAGATTTATATCAGACAAAACCATTACACAAATAACCAATGAACATGCCAAACCATTAGGATAAACTAAAACTTTGGATAATAAAACTGATTTTTAAAATATATTCTAAATTATGTTATTTGGTTTCAAATTATTTTTCCAGTTCTCTGAAAAAACTAAGTGAGTGAGTGAAGACTTAGTCCATTGACTTCTGCAACACAAGGACTCCAAATGATTTCTTTCTGTTTTTAAACCTAGATTCAGTCCAACAGTTTGCTATAATTGGCAGATTTAACAGATTCAAAATTGCTTCTCTATTAAGACAACCAGAAAGACACATTTAATCAGAAAACACCAGCACGGTGACCATTCAGATAAACAGAAACCCTGAGTAGATTCTAAAAGGGAAACATAAAAAATGCTGGACTTCAAAATTACTTAGGTTCATCTTGTGTATAACAAATAACCATGAAGAAATTACTTAAATTGCAATTTTTGACAAAAAAACCCCCTAAAATCTGTTTAGAGATAGCTCAAGAAAGATCATTTAAGCCTACACCCAGCTCCGTTCTTTAATTACTCTGCTCAAAGGTGTCACTCCCTCTGTGACATGAAGTTACTAAACTTGCAGGTATGTCTTAAACTCCCAACAGTTTCCCACATGACAGTAACAACCAAGTACCTACACTCAACTTTACCTATAAAGGCAAAAAATGTTCACTACAAAAGTCTTTTTAAACTAATGGGGCCCAGAGAGGCTTGCTTTGGAGCGAAACGCTACCCTCAGCTGTTTGAATCCAAATTAAAATGAACTAAGCTAAGAGGGAGAGAGCTTAGCATTCCAGTCAGCTTTAGGCTAAGGCAAATTTCACAAAGGCCAAGTCCTCAATATGGTGAAGTTCACAAAAGTTAATGGGATAACAGTGATTTCCAGCAGCTGGAAGGGTGGCCTCTAGTATTTGTAATCGTTTTGTGACATGCTGGTTATGTTAAAAAAAATTCAATTTTAACTTTTATTTGTAGTCACGTCTCTCGTTTCCTTTTCTCGAGTGACAGCCACAGATGAGTTTGTGAAAAGATAAAAGCTGCTGTAGACAAGCAAACACTTCTGTCACCACGCTGGAATACTTTCTACCCTATCTCACACAATCACCACTGCCGTCCTTCCACTACGTTAACGTGTGTTAACCATTAACCAAGCTGAATAGGAATATGCAGGACTTTTTACAAGTTTTTAGTAGTAATATTGGTACAAGCTGAAAGCCTCCAAGAAGCAGCATTTTTCCTGAGGGTCTACTCTGACCCTAAGATTTCAGTAATAAAAAAGCACTTCATTCCTGCAAGCTCTCTCCTCACCACTGGCTAGGAAAGCACACACTGTGAGTTAAAACTAAGAGTAGCAGTATATTATTGCCTGCCATTTATCTTTCAAGAAAGTTTAGACTATAGAGCTCTTGTACAGAGTAAATCCACTGGTCAAGTGTCTTATCCAATAGCTCCCAGTCCAATACTGGCAGCCAACATCCCGTAAAACACCCTAGTAGCAAATGTGACCAAAGAAAATTCCAAATTTAAATCTAATGTTGTTTGCAATACACTACTGAGTCAGTACCAAGAAGAGACCCAGAACTGGAGTCATTTAGCTCCAGTTCCAATGTGACAAACCAACTTCAGAGGAACTAATTCCTTCTCTAGAACATCAGCTGATGACATTCCTGAACCTACACGGCCCGTATAGTTGAAAAGTAAAAGGCAAATGTACAGTGAGCTCCAAAAATACTTCAAAAGTGCAAAGTGACAGACAATTCCAAATATTTGACATGCAGGATGGAAAATGTGCGGTTTTGTATTTGTTTTATTGCTCCACTGAACCAATCTATACAGAACAGCAATATTAAACCTTTGTCTTCTAGCAGTACAGCAGTTAGGAAGATTAAAGAATTTGTCACATTAGAGAACATCACTGTTTTGCAGGGCCTCTGTCTTTGTATAATGGAGCAGTATGGTCCTACCTTAATGACATCTTCATCTGATGATCTGCACTCTACAGATTCCAGAAGATCAGTCACAGTCCCATCATCTTCCACAGAGATCACTTTGACAGGGACAGCCACTGTTTTCCCAGTGAGAATAGCTGTATTCAGAATCTCTGCTTCCTAAGAGACAAAAAAAAGCCCCTTTAGTTAATATATTTTGCTGTTAATTCATTAATACCACCTAGATTCAGCTTTACTTTAATTTCCAATGGCTATTCCAAGAACTGTTCCAAGTGCAGCAGACAGAAAATTTCCTCCCTTCAATCCTGGAACCAAACTCCCAGTTCTGATTCAGGGCTGTTAAGATACCTGTCATGTCCTAATTGCTATTTCATGAATGCTTATCAAGTGTCAGAGCAACCTAACACCCAAGGAATGACCCCGCACCACATCAACAAGACGTACATTACCTCTAGCAATAGTGAAATCTGCATCCTGAGGAGCTCACTAATGATTATGCTTATGATAATGATTATAAAAATAATATCTTAAGTCTTGCTGTTTCACCCAGAAAACCTTTTTCCAAAAAAGTTGTGCTTTTTTAAAAAAAAAAAACCTTTTCCAAAATGTTTTCTACAAATATTGAAATTCTGTGACACTACTGGACAAATACTGTCAGCATTTAGACCAAAGAAATACTGTATAATTGTTAAAGAACACTTTTGAATAGAGGACAGTCAGAAATCTACTTTGCCCCAAATCTTCTGGATCATCTTTTACAAGTTCCTGCACTGGGGGTGTCTTCTGCAATACGCACACTTTGTAACTTCCAGCCTGTAGACAGCCTGCACAGGGATAACAGCTGCTACAAAAGCCACCTGGTAGCACAATAAACCATCCAGCATGCAGGGTGGGCTCTAGCATGGCTTCTGACTGCATGTTTGGTTGGACACTCCAGCTGGCCATGTGTATGGAAGCAACTCTAGTCTTAGAGGCAGGATTTGGGTTGCTCTTTGGGATTCAATGTTGGCATATTCAACAATTCCCAGCCTGTAAAATGGGCTAGTGACACAGTCTCTCATGACAGATGAGTTTCCCCTGCTCTGTCTCCTAGAGAATTAGTTTAGGAGTGCCACCATTCTGGTCCTGCCTAAATGATTGTATGTACCACAGACTGGGGGGAATCAGACCCTCAGCAGGTCGGGTAATGGTGGCTTAACACTTTTTTACAACTGTTTCTTTACCTTTTAATGAGGCTTGAGCAAAACCATCCTCTCCCAAAAATGAAGGATGCTGAGAAGGGTCTGGGCTCTTTAAACAAAATGAGCTCTGCAGTGATCTGTGTCTCTGGTACATCATTGTTGTGATGATGATTGCAAAATACATTCCATCTGTTTGTTTTATCACTTCTAATTTAAAAGTGCTGAGTTCTGATTATATGAAGAGCGTGAGACCAAACAGTGCTCTCAGTTACCTGGGTGTCACACCAGTCTCACACTAATATCACTGATTTGTGTCAAGATACATGGAGAGCACAAATCGGTGCCTGAATTTTTCCAATCCTAATTGCAAGGTGCTGCTCATTCCTGGAAAGGTCTCTGAGCTTTTCAGAACCGTGCCTGCGAATCACAGACTATCCTGTAGAACAAGAGGCTCTTGATTTCAACTGGCTCTTGTGAAATAAAGGCTTTCAAAGCCCCCCAAGTGCTAACTTCTCATTATCTAAATAGCTCACACTATGAGCTCTGAGACTGACCTCATTTTACTTGTGGAAGACGAAGTGGGAGATTGAAACCAAGTTACCAGAAGATGCTGACTCCCCCTACTGCCACTTGGGCTAAAGAGGAGAAGCTGGGATTTCTCTCACCTAAAGAATATGGATCAAAAAGACCTTTTCCTGTTACTTAAAGAAACAGACACACTTTATTTGGACTCAAAGTTAATATTTAAAAAAAGAAAGAAAAAAAACCCCTCCTGGTCTTTTGATAGCTGCTTTGCTAAAGTTTCCCCATCCTCACCATGATCTTTAGGGGAGGGTGAAATAGGATTTCACAAAAAGAGAACTTTAAGAAGAAAATCCTCCCTCAGCACAAAAGCCCTTCAGATATTTTAAAATTATAATTCATACAAAGGGAAGAATATCTGCCTTACTGTAAGGCCCTTCTCTCCTGAGCACACATTTGCTCTCAGTAGAGAATATATTATTCAGGCAGCTGGGATCTCAGAAAGATTTGCAATTAAGTTTCCAGTTTCTTTTAGTTTTTTCACACCTGGTCTTTACAGTAAAGCTACGGCACGCAGGTTATTTAGATATTTTTGCCACTCTCCCATAGGCTCCACAGAGCTGCAAACGGGTAGCTTGACAGAACAAGTGCTATCAAATATCCACGATACTTAGAGAATCCAGCCGTTAGGTCCTGATTTTGCAAGCACTTGGGTATGAATCTCATTTCATTTGGACTATTTGAAGCCCTACCACATGTCTCACTACCTGCACCTTGTACCAAGCTGGGAAGACCTTCTCCCTCAAGCAGGAATAGCTTTATTCCTCCAGTTGATACTTTGCAGTATGACCCTTGCAATTATCTTACAAAGCAAAGGGAAGTTAAATAACCAAGCCTTTGAAACAGTGTGATTAATGAAGTCTGCTTACTAAAGGCAAATGTAATTTCCCCTGGTAAGAGCTAGTAACTGAGAATTATTCTCACAATCTTCATGAATTTCTTTCAAGTTTCTGAATTTTCCAAGTGTTGGCTTTGGATATTCTGAATACAGTCTGCAACCTAATGTATCTGATACCTGTCACTTTATGGAAACACATGAAACCAGTTTACTCTGTACATCAGCTATTTCACTGTCACTATCCTGGTTTCCTTCTCAGCTACCTTCTAAAAGGATGCACCTACCACATTTAATCACAGGGAATTCCTGCATGGCCAGAGTCTCAGTTGGCTTCGAAGCTCAGTAACATGGTCTCAGGTCCTGCCCCAGAGCTTTCTGTCTGAGGTGACAGTCTGTCAGATCGGTACTTAACCCAACTGTGTGAATAACCTCGATGACTTTAATGAGAGTCCATAAATGCAAGGAGATGAGTGTATTCATACCTGATTCTAACATAACGAAGCAAATTCATATGTTGTCTCTATCCAAAATCAAAGATCCCAGATTCAGTGTTTTGTGGTTTTTGTTTGTATCCATGTTCTAGATCTATGTTGGGAACCAAAGTGTTTCCAGAATTAGAGCAGCATGTAACAGTATTGCTAATTCTTAGACAGTCATAAAAATCTCCAAAACAATCTCTGTCTCCTCTTTTCCCAGAAGAAACAAAGGGGGTAGAAGGCAAGAAGTAATGCCTGGAGTTCATAGCAATGGCTATGGTGATCTTCCCACCTCCTATCAGCAACTACTTGTTGAGTCACAGGAAAACAAATCCATCTAATGCTTCTCTAAAGGAAAAGAAGGACAAAGCAAGCTGGCAATGGTCAGAAGCTGAGCTAATCTACACTAGAATAGCTGAGCTGTATTTTCTATCAGCAGGTTTTTTAGTACCTCTACGTGCATGGACTTGGAGGATGATTTCTTTAGGCACCTGGTTTGCATCTCACCCTTGAACACAGAGGCATAATAACCATTTACACCAATTTACACAGCAGGGGCAGAATAAAATGCTTCTTCAGTCATTTGTTTAATGGCTGAAAAGGGATTATGTTCCTCTGGTGAAAGCATACAAAAATTATTTCATTTTGAGAAAACAAACATGATACTTATTTAGCCATACAGGGATTTATAGTTCAGAGTCTCAGCATGTAAAAGCTATAAATCTAAATAGTTACTAATTTAAAAGTATTACTTTTTGTTGCTTAAGTGATAAAGGAATCTGCTGAAGAAATATTATGTTCTTTACCCATAACTAACATAGATTATAGAAGATATGATGTCAGGGCTTTGTAAGATGGAAATAGTTCTGCTTTTGCAAAGCTATAGCCAAATAGTCTAAGAACTAAAAGTTGATTTCCTGAGCACCTATGAAAAAGATGCAAAACTTTCTCTAACTATTACGTAGCATATCTCTCTAATTCATAGACAATGAACGCCACAAATAATAAGAAGAAATAATAGCAATCAGAGAAAAACATTTTTCTACATGTAATAGAAAGACCAGGTAATCCTTATTCTAAAATTGAAAATTAAAAAAAAAACCAAACCAAAACAAAACAGTAATACTTTTAAAGAAGATTCTGGAGTGAGCTTTCTTTGCCTACTGAAGAGATTCATATTAAATAACTAAGCATATTAAGCCCTCCAGCAGAAACATATTCAGAAGATGTACACAGTAAGCATCTATTTAAGTAGAAATGCAGAAGTGAGTACCTATTAGTTTTCTCAGTTTTAATTAGTAGCTTCCCTGCAATTTAATTTCCCCTTGGATATCTTTTGCCTTATAATTCCTGAGGTGAAAGAAAGGACTTTAACAAGATCTTTATAAACCTTAAGGAATTTTTTTTTTCTTCCCCTAGTTCTCTCTGTCTACACAATGTTTCCTAATGTTTGTATTAATAATGACTTTTAAAAAGAAATAAATACATGACTAACTCATGCTTAGCTCTGAGGCCTCACATCAGATTTATGTGACAAAGAAAAATTTAGTAGTAACTGTCAGTATCCTTTTCCAAAAGCATCTTAGCATGATTCAACACATCATTTCAATGCCGAATCCCTGTTAGCCCTCACAACACTTCAAGCAGCAGTGAGCCAGGCACCAGCTTGTTTTCAGAAAAGACCTGAAGACATGTTTCCTCAAAATAACTTGGACTGATCTGCAGCTTATACCCTTCAGGAGAGGAAGTACTTGTCCTACTACAACACATAAGGAAAAAAGTATTAAAAAGTCCCCACAACACTATGATACATGTTCTGTAAGCACAGCAGATCTCCAGTTACATTTTTTATTACAGTAGTGGAATATATTTTTGCAGGCTAAATATCTAACTTCTAAAATCAAGCACGTTCCTTTTTGTTTTCAATAGGTATCTTGGCTTTTGGGTTTACTATGTATAGCCTGCAATAGGGAATAGAATAAAATGATCATTAAAATCTCCTGAAGTCCAGGGCACGCCACCAAATGAGAATGAATAGCTGCCTGAAAATCCATCCCATTTGGCACTCATTAATATCCTCCTTTT